TCCCTCCCTCCCTCCCTCCCTCCACCTTGTAGTTGTTGTCTCAACATGTAAGCTCTCAAGTATTGCTGCAGCACCATGCCGCCTGTTTCTGGCATTTTCCCCATCAAATTATGAACCTCAAATTAATGCTTCCTTTTATATGTTGCCTTGGTCATGGTGCCTTGTCACACAATATAAAAGTAACTAAGATAATAATGCACATCTTCCTATATACTTTAAATCATCTCTAGGTCATTGATAATATATTGTACAAGGCACATGCTATGTAAATAGTTCTGCTGTTTTGTTTGGGAATGACAATAAGAAAAAAGCCTGTATATGTTCAGTATAGGTGTAGGTTTTTAAAATACTTCCCATCCAAAGTTGGTTGGGTCCAAAGTTGTGAAACATGGTAGTTATGACAATCTACTGTAAAACATCATTAATTTGGATTATTGTGCTGTGGTTTCTGTCTTTCAAAGGGTGAGTCCATGATCACCATGCCAGGGGTCATGGGAGCTGGCAGGTAGGCATGGTGCTGGAGGAGCAGCTGAGAACTCACACCCTGACCCACACACATGAGACAGTGAGAAAGAGACCAGGCCAGGTATTGGCTTTGGAAACCTGAACGCCCACCCGCAGTAACACACCTCCTCCAATAAGGCCACACCTCCCAACCCTTCCCAAACCGTTATGCAACTGGTGACCAAACGTCCAGTACAGGAGCCTGTGAGGGCCATTCTCATTCACGCCAGCACAGCTGAGATATCGGCAGGCCCGTCATGGTGGTCCCTTGCTGGTCATCACAGCTGCTCTAATTAAGGTGGCAATAGCTGTTATCCTCAGAGGGCAGCACTGGTGTTGAACCTGCATAGACTAGCCATGGGTTGGGGGAGATGAATATACAAAATAAAATAGCTGAGGGATTTTTTATTTACTACCACACAACAGGATGTTACATAGTCACAATATCCCATTTGCCTATCACCATTTTATTATCAGACATACCCACAAAGTTGATTCCATTATGTAAATCTCTATATTCATAAGTTTGTGTTATAGTTTGAAGTTACTAAGTAATTCTTTCTTGCATTGTATTTCTCCAAAATTTCAGTCACAAGCAAATCAATTACTCATTTTCTAAGATTATTTTAATGTATCACTGAATGGGATATTTCAATATATGTTCTAGAATGAGAATAAATATTATACATTATGAAATGGGTCAAGTTTCATTAACAAGGCAACTTGGTCAAGTTAAACGGTGATTAGAGTTCACAGTATGGAATCCTTCTGTCTTAGTTAGGGTTTCTATTGCTATGACAGAGAACATAACCAAAGCAACTTGGGGGAAAAAACGGTGTGTTTCATCTTATAGTTCCCACCATCCTCCATCACTGAGAGAAAGTGGGGCAGGAGCCCCAGGCAGAAATCTGGAGGCAGGAACTGAAGCAGAAGCTACCCTGGAAGGTCACCTACTGCCTGCTCCTCCTGACTCTTCAGATTCTTTTCTTATATAGCACAGGACCGCCTGCCCAGGGCAATCCCACCTGCAGTGGGCTGGACCTCCCCACATCTGTCTAGTGAAGACCACACCTGGCAGGCTTGCCCACAGGTTAGCCTTATGGAGGCATTTTTATCAGTTAAGACTCTCTCTTCTCAGATGACTGTATCCTGTGTCAGGCTGACAAAAAATGAAAAGGAAAAAGAAAAACATTCAGGACACCTGCACGTCATAGACTGGGCTCAGATTTAAAGGAAGCATTCATACTGTTTCTCAGATGCTAAACCTTTACCACCAGAACACAAACCGTTATCAAGCACTATAGTTTCTATCCTCGTTGGGGTTTTGTGGGGATTTTCAAACGATAAAAGGGAAAGCAGACAGCCACATTCAGAGGTCTGAATCAATGTATCTTTACTGGCCGTAAACCAGAGGAGACCTACTCAACCCCTCAGGAAAACAGCTGCCTTCTGGGAACATGAAGCTACTTCCTCATTTCAGTTACTGTTCTAGAGTTTTGAAAGCATTTTTCATGTTATAGTTTTAATAATTATTATCTGTCTTATGAAGAACCTGAGACCCCGGCATGAGCTTGTCTTGACCCTACCATTCACAGTGACTGTATTTTTACATATGCTGTGTCTCCAAGTTGTATCTCTTTTTATCTGAAAATATTTGGTAAAAGAAACTCTCACTAGAGTTTGGAGCAAGAAAATGGGCCCTTTGCAGCCTATATTTGAGGTTAATACTCTCAGACAACAGGAAAACCACAGAGAGACCACTGTTTACAGTTTACAACTCATGATGGCCTAATATTAATATAAGAAATCTGGTACAAATACTTTAAAAAATGATTTTATGCCTCTTGCTTCCCTCTAAAAAATGTATCTCAGCCACATAGAATTCCATTCCAGTCAGAATTTGGCAAAATCAAAGAAAATAGCAGATTCCTACAAGGTCTTGTGTTCTAGAAGCTCTGTGGGAACTAACAGAACTGGAGTCATCCTGCTGATCAATAGACAGTTACCATATTGTTAATTCTTCTGAGAAAAACATTTTAAAGTCTATTCCTGATTTTTTAACATGCAAAATGGTAAATGGATCAGGAATCTGAATTTTTAAGCTTTAAGTAATGTCCCTAGCTTCTCTAAGACTCAATTTACAATTGTACCTTCATAGAGTTGGTACAGTAAAGGGCATTGTGTGTAGAATTAGGTGCCTGTGATCTGTGTTTGCAATATCTATAAAACTTTGAGCACACACTGAGTTATGAGTGCAGAGGTGGTATTAGAGTTCAGAAAGCTGTAGAGGTAAGATCAACAGCAGTAGAGGTTATGGGCACTGAGAGAATGGGACTTGCCTTTGAGACTGGCTATTACCTTAGTAAATAGTTCTCTCTATAAGTCAAAATCAGCTCTACACAGACCAAAAGGAATTATTTGGCTTCTGCCTTCCATGTGTTCCCACAGTGCCTAGTATCTATAGTCTATTGGCCAAATACTTCTCAAAGAAAGCATCAAACAGAATGAAACCTAAACTAATGATTTACCACATCAAAAAATGATCACACAGGTAGAAACAATCAAATAAAGTGCAAGCAAGTATTGTTTAAAATGGCTATAACTCTACAAAAAGGAAATTACTAGTAAATTTTACTAGAGTAAACATTAAAATTATGTATGTTAAAATTAGTATGGGATAAGTTAAAATATCTATAGATATCAACTTACTTATACATATATTAAAGAACTGATGTTCTGCATAAATAGCCAAAGAATAAAATTAAATAAAGTTAAGCATAATCAAATAAATAAGAAACAACTCAATGCTATATCATTTTCTTTATTAAATGTCAAAATTAAAAGCAGTATATGGCACTATCATAATAAAAAGCATATACTCACCAACACAAGCCCACCTTTCTGAACTTGGGGTCTAGCTCAGCCGTACAGCTGCAAGCCTGGCAAACTGGGGGCCTCAGGTTCTGGGATGTAGCCCAGCAGTGGAGCACTTGCCTAGCATAGGGGAGGCTTTGTTTCAATCTGCAGCATCACAAAAATAAATAGAATTTTTAAAGTGGAAACATACTTTCTGAAGACTTTTTTGTCAATAAAGCCTTGTATAAATCTATACTCTGATTTAAATTTCCTCTTTGGGAACTTTATCATAAAGATAATTCTCAGAAGTGTAAAATTTTTAACTAAGGAATATACATTTCTACACCATTTATGATAGTATATGTCACAACAACCTAAGTGTCTGAGATTGTGAGTAGAGACTGGTTAAAAGAATAGAGAAATCTCCATACAATGGAGGAATATAGTCACACAGAATCATAGCATGCTAATTATTATTTACCCTGGAAATATTTATCACATATTATTATATCTGAGTAACTTCAAAGTTGCTAAACTAAGGTGCTAATCTACATGTATTATGTATCTACCTACATGTACAGAACCAAATATGATGTTAAAGATGTACCCTAAGCAATAGGATCATAGATATCTGATACTATGATTTTTTTAAAAAGTCTATATTTTTTTATTTTAAACTTTTTTCATTTTACAGACCAACCAGAGTCCCCCCTCCCTCCCCTCCTCCCACTCCCCTCCCACCTTCCCCCATCCTCCGATCCACTCCTCAGAGAGGGTAAGGCCTCCCATGGGGAGTCAATAAAGTTTGGCACATCAAGTTGAAGCTGGACCCAGGCCCTCCCTGCTGCATCAAGGCTGAGCAATACATCCCTCCATAAGGAATGGGCTCCAATTTTATATAAATATAAAAAGAGTAACTAAAAAGAGAAAAGGGGGCCAAGAAGATGGCTCAGTGGGTTCCGTCCTTGGGACCCACATGGTAGAAGGAGACTTGATTCCTACAAGTTGTCCTCTGAGCTCCACAACTGTGTAATGGCACACTCCTACCCACCAACACACACACACACACACACACACACTATATATATATATATATATATATATATATATATATATATATAAACATAATTTTAAAATTAAACAAGAAAGTGACAAAGAAAAAGGAAGGAGGATAGCATAAATCACAAAACAGGAGAGAGATAATGGAGTGGAAGAGAACAGCAGAAAGGAAGGCAGGGTCCATAAAAGCAGGAGGGAAGACGTGGGGGTTTGAATGGAGTGAGCCCCATAGGCTTATATATTTGAACACATTATTCCTCAGTTGGTGGAACTATTTGGGAAGGATTAGGAGGTGTGGCCTTGTTGGAGGAGGCCTGGCGCCAGGGGTGGGCTTTGAGATCTGAAAAGGCCCTGCCAATCGCAGTTATCTCCCTCTGCCTAGTGCTTGTGGATCAAGATGTGAGCTCTCAGCTGCTGCTCCAGCGCCAGACCTGCCTGCCTGCTGCCATGCTCCCCACCATGATGGTCATGGTCTCGCCCTAGGAAACTGTATGCCCCAAATATACACCTTTATAACTCACCTTGGTCATGGTGTCATGTCACAGCAAAAGAAAAGTAACTAAGACAAAAATAAACACCCTTGATTGGTTTTTCTCTTAGTCAAAGGTCTGTTGAAATCACTTAAGGATCTTCAAAGCTATGTGGACGACATGGGCCAATCACTATAGTGCAGTTTCTTTTCATTTTTAGACATTTCTTTTGGGGTAAAACACAAACAAAACAATAACAAAAACAAAGGGAAAGGAAGTGATGGGCTGAACTGGGCATTCCCGGAACAGTCATGCCAGCTTCGGGCCAGGGAAGGGAAGCCAGCAAGGCTGCAGGTCTCACTGATCTCCCCGCCCCGCACTGGAACGCTGCACCCTGAAGGGCACATTTGCCCTCTTCTCTGTAACTTACCTACAACATAAACAAGAAATTTACATGAAAGCAACCTCGTTTACCTCAGACCAACTTCTCAAAAAAAAAAAAAAAAAAAAATACTGAGGATGGAAAACAGGAAACAATAGAATCCAGAACATGGGGCCCAGGAACTGGGAACAGTGAGCCTTTTAACGTTCTGATCCGTGCTGTATGATGAGGGAAACTACTAGAGTGTCCATGCTCTGGAAAGGCCGGTGACCCCACGGTCCTGCCGCGCACTGGTGTCTGCGCTCTGCGCACAGCAGAGCTGTGTCCCTGTCTGTCCTTCAAGCCAGGCTGTGCTCTCCTACCTGTGACATGAGCTGGAGGTGGGGAGGTTTCAAAAGGAGACTGTCCACAGCTGAGAACCAGGAACATGGTTACGGCCGTCTGCCCACCTGCCATTGCGTCTCACTGGGGTGGGTTTTGATCTTTTTCCCTGAGCAAGAGCATGTAGGTAGTAGAAAAGATGAGTGTAGTGTGTCTTTTCAAGACTCTCACTCATCCCTCAGTCATGCTTCCTTTTGGAGACATGGAAGCCTTCAAGATAAATATTCTATTTATAATATAAATCTAATTATCCTTATTAGCTATTCTGTTTTTCTTTACAAATTAACATTTGATAGACTTGATAATTCTATTTGGAGATTTTGCAATGGAAAAACAGCCCTGAACAAATTACTACATTCCCTAAGCTTACCTCAGACATAATTATGTGATATACATGCAGACTGCTTTGGTATTTTGGTAAATGGGATTAAGGTTTCTTTGATGCCCTTTTTCTCTGTCCTGCTCTCCCTCATTAGCAAAAAAAAATATATAGCTGAGGGCAAATGGGTTGAATCTATAACCATTTAAAACATACAGTACTAAGGAACTATCCAACCTGGTTGACCATAAAGTCCCTTTTGGCTTTTCTGTGAAAGCCACAGCTCTACGGGAAAGAAGAATTGTGTTACAGAAAAGTTGCAGTATTTTTTTTTTTATCTGAGACTCCATCTCTAGGCTGGACTGGAACAGAAAGAAGCCTGATGTCACTTCCTGCCTCCTCAGGTTCACTCTAAGACTTCAGCAGTGACCACAACATAGATGGTGCTGATTGTAAAGCTAGTGTGGGCCAGCAGATCCTGTTTCGATTTGAAACAGCAAATGCCACTAATCCCATTGAGAAAGTTCAGTTTCCCAGGTCACTGAAGGAAAATGTCTCTCAGGACAAGTTCTGTCCTGAAACAATTACAGCTTGATAACATTTCTTTGACTCTTTCTTAGTCAGAAAAACAATGAGTTCAACAGAAATCTATGTACTTTCCCCTCACTTCTTGTGTGTGTGTGTGTGTGTGTGTGTGTGTGTGTGTGTGTGTGTGTGTGTGTAACTGCTTGTGGAACACTGATTTCACCAACTTATGAACAAACTAAAAGCATTTCAATGTATATGTTTTTGCTTTCGTGGCTTTTTTTTTTCTGCCACAGGGCTTTCTATTCTGTTTCGGGGTTAAAGCCAAACATGCCAGGGCACATTTCAGAGACTTTTTTCCTTTTATGAAAATCTTCCCAGGGGCTAAAGATTGTTTTGTTTATTTTATTCCATAGAATACCCCCTATATTATTGTCTAGGTTATAATTTGCTGTCTGTATTCACTCACTAACTCATCCATCCATTCAGTAAGCATTTTTCCAATCCCCTACTCCGCTGGACATCATGCCCATTCCTGAGCACACAGTAGCAATAAAAACAGAGGTAACACTGTCCTAGTGACCTTTACATTGTGATTATTTCTAAGAGAGAATAAAACTTAAGGGACTCTGGCTGGAGCCAGAAGGGACACACAGGTTAACTGTGAGGTCAAACATGGTGGGTGGAGAAGGGCCAGTCTCCTATCTTTTGGAAACATTCCATACACGATAGCTTTCCACACTGTGAAAACAGCTTTCTTTAAATAGAAACCCCCAAACGGTACTGTATACAAAACCCTCCTGAGCACCCTTGGACCCTCCTCCTGCTCCTTCCTCCTGAATCTCTCCCCAGTTCTGTGTACTCCACCTTGAGTCCACAGCCTGGAGGTGGGAAGGCGTGCAGGACCACACGGTCACATCACTTCCTGCAGGTGTCGACACTATCACTGTAACACGTGATTCCCTTCCAGACCTCGCTGAAATGCTCCTGTACACGGAATGGGATCTGGCTTCTGGGATGGTCACCAGTGGCCTGGCTTATACGACTTGAAAGCCTGATGGAACTGGCCTTAGTGAAGCCGACCTTCACAAGTGGGAGGAGGATGTGGAAAGAAACTTCAGACAAAAGTCTCCTTTTTCCTCTTTCTCAGGATTACCTTGAACCCATTTCTCATTTGGGTACATCTGAAGTGTAACGTGCCCATGGACATCTCTCCTAAGCTAATACTGTAGCTGTGATCTAAGCAGAAATCTATCTCATCATGGTGCTCTCTGTGTGCCACCTCTCCTCATCCTCATCATCTTTATCTTTCAGTTTGTACCTCTCACTGTGACAGAGCTTGAATTCCTGCCTTGGGCTCTGCTCTCTGAATAATCTAGTTTAACAGACACATTTCCCAGGCCCCTTGCAATTGTAAACGTGGCACATCTAGGTTTTACTTATCAGATACAACACTGATTTGGGGGCAAACAGATGTGAAATGAACGAGTGGCCCCTAGTGGGTATGTCTTTTGATATTCACTATCATGGCAGTAATAGAATGAAGGCCCTGGATTCATGTGCGATGTCTGTGAATGACCACTGCCAATCAGAGACAGCAGCAGCTGGGATATTTCCACTAAAAGGTGTCTGTGGTGCACTGGCTTTGCCTCCAAGCTCTGTTATTAGACTTTGCAATAAAGGAGCGTAGTGGTTTACTCATCTGAAGAGCTGACAACCTCGTGTTCAATGCTAAGCATTTCTGTTGAAATTAAATATTGAGAATTCTATTGTTTGCAACAAGGATTTCTGACCAATAGAAGGTTGGTCTACCTAAGACCTCGTTTCAGTCCTTTGTTTCTCATGATAAACCCCAGAAAGAAACGGCAAGTTGTGAAATGTGTGTGTTCCTCCTCTCTCCTACAGCACAAGGAACCCTGTAACCAGTGGTGCCTGGAAGATAGAGGGCATGGTCAGGGCTTCACTTTCTAGATGAAAGCAAACAGATGTGACACTGCCTTTCCATCTTTTCTTGTGTTAAGGACAAATG